AACAGAGAGCATCGCACAAAATACCACCAGAGTAAAAGAGGTAAGAGCTAAAAGTATCTGAGCTGCTGTCAACAGACAGTACCTTAGATGAAAGGATGTGAATGAAAGGAGGAAAATAAAGGGCAATTTTATTAAGAGAAATTCAGTGACAGTAAATTAGTGTGGAAACAGGGTTGGTGGGGAGTGGGTTCTAATGCTCTAAGGACATATGTTTCAGTTTGTAAATAAAACAGTAAATTGCTCTGGATGCTGCTCAAATATCTGTGGGCCTTCTTCCATGCTTTGCGGAAGTTCCTCTATAACCCTTCTGAGGCTGCCTTCTTTAAAATGCCAAAGCAACTTCTTAAAGTCAGAAAGGCCATCTGGTTCTCGACCAATTCAAGATGTGTTTTTTTTTTCTCCTTCTCATCATTCTTTTTATAGATCAAATGATTTGCATTGGTATCATCAGTAATGCTCTTGAAATGTTGCAATGGAAAAGCAAAGCAATGAATGAATCACACCTCGACAGTAGAAGTTATTCAAAACAACAAGGTACAGTTATGAAAACCTTTTTTTTTTTGGTCTTATTTCTAGATTGGTGTTTTTAAAAGCCTTTAATGCACCAGTGGACTTAATTTGAACACTTGTTAGATGGTAAAGGGGGAAGGCATACAGTAAAAAAACATTTAATATACAGACATATTAAGTGAAAATATTGGGTTTTGGTTGTTTTTACTCCAATAAATCACTGGTGTATCATTTATTAGCTGTCAGTGCTTTTCAAATGTTCTTTTTGCATTTCTTTACACACACAGAGAGATTAATCTCTCTCTTACGGATCAGACGTGTCTTTAGTTTTTGCCAAAGGGGCCAAAAAATGTGACGTTAAAGTGCTTTTAGGCAAAAATTTCAAAAAAAAATTTGTTTATTGCTCATTTTAACTGATCCAACAAAAGCCTAAAAGCAAAATATTTCAATGGAACAAACAATAATTGTCCAAATAAAAATTAAAAATAAAAAAGATCTGTAAAACATAAACATACAGTGGTAGATATATAAACATGACATAAAAAAAATACAAAGTTGATTTTGGTCCATATTTTTCTGAGTGTATTTTCATCATCAATGAACATTTATATTTAATAAAATATATTTAATAAATATGAAACTCTCCAGCTTGATTAAAAAAATAAAATAAAATCCTTTGTAAGGTCCCTTTTGATCTTATTTAAAGTCCTTTGTTTTTAAGTTTAAGTCTCACATCAGTAAAATGACACCAACATTTTTAAAACTAAGTTAGCAAACTAAATTTGTCTCTTAAATTGTGGTTGGAAGCTACACAAAATCATCTGCAAATGAGTCTTTCAGGGCACTTTGAACACGTCTGGTCATGGTGGTCTGTTATCCTCTATTGTCTGCAGCTCATCCCACTGATTTCCTGTTAAATCCAAGTCAGACTGTCATGAAAACATTGATTTTCTGCTTGGAAAACTGACCCAATGACAAACTGAGAAATGACCTGACTGAAGGATCCATTTTCCTCTGGCAGAAGGCACCACATCTTTATTTAAGGTCCTCTGAGTTAATGCATCTACATTTCTCAGGGCCATTGGGAATAAAACGAGCCCAAAGCATTACAGGTCCTTCACCCTACTACACAGTGAACATTAGGCCCTATGCCACATGCTAACGGGTTTGTCCAATCATGTTTGTCAAAAAGTTCTCAAAACTCTAATCAAGAAATGCTTAATCTATATGAATTTTATAGGATTTTTTTTTTTTAACATGAGACTTTTAACAAGAATTTGTTTTTCCACCTATATATTTGATCAAAATTATCCATTTTCAAGTTAACTAGCTAAATTTTTAAAGTAGAATTTGTTGCATAAAGTAAAAGAGAGATAAGAGTAAACATTGTAATAAATCCAAAGCTTGTGGTGTGGTTTATAATTCAATAAAATGCGGTGTATTTTGGTAGATTAGCAGAAATATTTTTTTTCTACGTTTAGAAATGGGAGTTCATCATCAGTGTGTTTATATAAAACTCGAACATCTACATTTATCTAAGAAAGCATTGAATAACTTCAGTGAAGCTCATTGTTCTTATGTTTTATAGTCGAGCTTTAAATGTTTTTATAATCACAGAAGATTAAACCTAGTTTCTGGTTTTCTTAAACTTATGAATGGACTTTTTCATTTCCTAAACCAACACATGTGAAAAGAGAAATAAAACTTTTTAGATGTTTTCTTTTGAACAGGTTCACTGAAGCCTTATGAGCCGCTTTTCCTAGTGATGTTTTTAACCAGTGTGTTTGCAGATCAGATCAAAGGCTTCCACAGCAGACTGTTTGCTGGAGATCCCGATTCATGCGTTGCTGTCTATCAAGATGTTTGGGATATTTTTGGCTTCTTCCAATGTGTAAACTATTGTTTCCAGTCTTACCGCACTCCACCAGACTGTCAGTCAAGTGAGCTTCCTCCCTTGATTTATGTATAAAGGAGTCCTATTATTGAATAAAACAAGACCCCCATGCCTTTATCTTCCACGCAGCACACATTCATTTTTAAAGGTTGCTGTATAAAACTTAATAAGATGCATTTGGCTCCAAAAGCCCCCGGCCTGCTCAGTGGAAAGTCAGGCAGATTGTTTTTCAGCCTCTTAATGGCGAGTTTATAAGAGACGGATTAAAAAATGTTGCCATGGAGATTTAACCACAACATCCCAATTACCTCGGCACAACGAGGCTTTGGAGGCTTGCAAATAAACCCGTATAATGCCATTAAGGTATGAGCGCCACAAGAAAATGTCCCTGAGGAGGGAGGAAGGAAAGCCACAGAAGAAGTGAAAGGATCCCAGTGCTCCTGTTGAAATGAGTGATAATGAAACTTTGTCTTTTTTGCATTTGCAAAAAGCATAAAGAGGCACATTTATTGCCATGAAATTATAAACAAATCACCCAATAAGCTCAAATACAGCAAATGCTGATAGAGCTTTTAATAAGTCACCCACATATTTTTCATATCAACTTCAAAGTCTGTATAAGAAGCGGCTGCTTTAACCAAATCAGGCACCAAAACACTGCATGTCTGACCCCCCCACCCCTCGCCCCACCTTTCCTTTAAAGGGGGAAAAATAAAAACGTGGATGGATGGAATAATTGCTTGACTTCAAAGTGCAGGTTATTGGGCTGCGTTTACTGTTGCTTTCGCAATGTGCAGAGTGCTTTCTCTTCACATAAAGTGGGGGAGGTTTGCTTCATTCCTCTCATGGTGCAAATCTCCACTCTAAACTGGAAAACAATCACCAGCATCTAAAGAAACTTTTTCCTTTCTATTTCCCACCAGTCATTTAAGTTCTTTATGAAGCTGCTTGGAGAGTTAGCACAGTTGCATCTCTGTTATTAAACATAAAGATTAAAAATATACACCTGCCTGTCAACCAATTAGTATGCTTTCAATTGAAATTTTCTTTTTTGGAGAACTGAATCTGACAATTGTATTATATTCAATGTTTCTAATGCGTTCAGTCACATCTGGCAGTGTCTGTGCATGGAGTTTAAGGCAATACCTCAAACAGATTTCAGCATCACAATAGCCCCCCCAAAGAAATCAGTTAAAATGTGGACTTATGTCTGTCTGGTGTATCCTTGGTCACACTCCAGGTGCCAGAAGATGACAGGTACATCTCATCAAGCCACTATTTTGAAGTATGAACATCATGAAAGCTGCTAAGACACTGTAGTTATCCACAGGAAAAATACAGCCCTGTGCTGACGTAGGCTGAAATACCTAAGGAAGCAATTACCCCAAAAGTCCAATAAAGAGCCAAATAGGTTTGCAAAAGGAGTTAGTGACAGACCTCAAGCTTGAAGACATGTCCTTTTGTTTGTTGGAGCTAAAGTCCAAGTGACCATAAGGACTATTGCTAGATTTAGAGAACTGATCAAACTTTTTCCAACCAGCCATGCAACCGTTTAGAAAAGTATTTTGTACATGCAGTGTGAGGCAAAGGGAAACAACAAAAAATATTTTGTATGGTTTGGAAAAGCTTTTTTTAAATGTGTTTAAGTCCTATAATTTTTTGTTAGGGAAAATAGAACAAATCCCAGACCGTGGAGACCTGATCGACACAAATAAAAACAATACGTAGATGTTAAGAAAAAAATACATTTTAGGAGATCATTTCTGTTCCGTTTCCTCAGCATTCAAAGATTTAGAAGACGCTAATGTTCAAATATATGCGGACGACTCAATGGTTTTTCTACATGAAAAGAAGCATTTTTGATTCCCACATCAGCACTGAATTGAATATCAGTGGGTTTTTTTTTTTTATTTTTTTATTTTAATGAACACCAAAAAATAAAAGTTGAAATTTTCTTACCAACAGTATATAAAGTAGGATTGTAAATGTCTCTGAGAGGTGAGCAGCTCAGTAGGTAAAATTAATCGCTAGATCTCAGTATTGACCTGAAGCCCAGCAAAATGTTCCAACTCTACATTTAAGATTATTTTATTATGTTTTGAGATTAAATAAATAATAGACAATAAAGTGACCTTTAGTGGCTCTAGTTTGAAACTGTATGTTTCTTTACACAATGGTGTATTGCAAAACATTTTGTGACGAGGTCAGGATTACAATACATATACGGTAACAGATTATAAAGAAAAGGGCTGGATTTAACATAAGTCTATCTTATGATAAGACAATAAGGTGCTGGTGCAGGAATAAAGATAAAATTCCAAAATCATCCTTGTGAACTTTTCTTTTTTATATATATTTTGCATCATTTACTAATAAATGTATTTATTTAAATGTTGTTTTTTTAGTCATTTGAGATGTTGCAGAGACTTTTCCTAGAGCAGCTGCAGTATGAATGACTTAACAAGCTAATAAAGAAGGCCGTTTGGTTCTGGGAACTCCTCTAGAACCTCTGGAGATGATTTTACAAAAATAAAACATTTTCCTAAAATCAAGAACGTTCTGCACAACCCTGAGCATCCTCTTCAAAAGACTGCTAAATAACAAGAGTCTTCAGTCAAAGGCTTCACCTGATCGACTGCAGATCAGACCTCTACAGAGATCATTCCTTCTTACAGCTGTTAATATGTACAGTAACTCACTGGAAAACAAAATTAGTCATAACATTAAATTTCCCTTCATGAAATCAAGTCGCTAACGCATTTTTGAATTGAATGAATGGAGTTTTTTTTAAACAAGATTTTGTTTTGATGTCAGCCACCACTAGAGGCGCCGCACCACATGGACAATAACACAAAGACAAGCTGCAGTGAAACATTGTTGGAGCGGCTTACCTCATACTACAGAGATCTAAATTTAATATTTTTGTTTTAAAAGAATAGAAACATCGAACTCTTAAAAAAAAAAAAAAAGTGGAACATATTTTCATCGCTGCAACAAACAATGGGATGTAGATGTGAAAAAAAATGCATTTTGTTAAGAGATTATTTTAGACAAACGTACAAAAAAACAGAGTGCTACATTCAGATGACAGATACATGTGGGTGTGTAATAGCATGGTGCTTCTGAAGCTTAAGTCTTATTCAATAACAGCTGCATATCTAAATGAACGAACCAAAATAAGATCTATATTTCAGCAAAAACAAACAAACTTGGACTCTTATTCGTTTTGCAAACAAATGCTACAAAACCCCTCTACATTAAAAATCCCAGGGAAGTGAGCTATGTGCTGCTGAGATGTCTTGAATTTGCAGAAGTTGTTTTTCTCCAACTACCTCTGTTTCTGTTTCACCAAACTTATTCACTGTCAGGGCATCTGAGTCATGAATCAGGTCTACACTGATTGGCCTTATTTGGAGGAGTAGTGACCTCTAGTGGCTGTAGCATGAAACTGCACGCTGCTTTTCATAATAGTGTGTTGAAAAAAAGGTTGAAGTGATAATGATTGCATTTCTAGAAGCTAAATATATTATGGAATATAAACAAGAGGATTGGAGCTAAGAATACAACCGTCTTATGGTAAGAAATAAGTTGCTGGTGCAGGAATAACTAACAAAAATCATAATCCTTATGACATTATTATTATTTTTTTTTTACTTCCAGAAATTCCTGAATTATTTCCCTTCCTATGGTGGATCTTCAGCCTAGAAAGTAAGCAAAGTCTTTGAGTTGTAGCTGTAGAAGTCGGTAGTGCAATCAAGAGTCACCGAGGATGCTGATGTCGGCGAATTCTTTTCGGTAACGTTTAGCAGCCAGGAGGAGCTGGAGGGACCACTTCAGGCTCATGACACTCCACACAGCTGACAGGTAGAGACTCCGAGGGTCGGTGAAAGCTACAACAGGGAGACATATGTCACACAAAGTGAGAAAAGCTCATTATGCACACCGATATAAAATAGAGAACCTAGAAGCTGTATCCCCAAAATCAAACATTAAACAAGTAGAAAAAGCTGTTAAAACTACTGCAAATGCTGTTTTATTTCCAAAGCTTTTTAAAAAGCCTTCTACCTTCTGGTAGAGAGCTTTTTAAAAAAGCTTTTACTGAGAAACAATATTATTTATCACAGGTAGCTATTAGCTTACCCCTCCTTTCTGCAGGGTAAAGCCCCAAAGAGTTCAGGTATAGAACCAATAATGTGTCCATCTTTCACAGTTAACAGGAAAAATTGACAAACCCATGGGCTTTGTTGAATCGTGTGTAGAATTAAACTTTCCTTAAGTCTATTAAATATGACTATTGGAACAAAAAACATTGCAGATTTCAACATCTACACTGCCAAAAATGTAAATCTAAATAAGTAATTTCTTTCTTTAAAAAAAGTGCATTTGTTCTCAAATTGAGGAGGTGAGAACTTTTGCCAATGGAACAAGAAAATTGACATTTAAAATAAGATCAGGTGCATATTATCTAATTATCTTATTTTAAGAGTGAAAATACTCATTAACCAGTTTAAATTAAGGGTAAATACACTCATTTTAAGAAGTAGTTGCTTATTTCTAGATCTCGTTTGCAGTTTGACATTATGTTAGACTTAAGATTTTCTTGTTTTTCTTTCATGTCAGGTAGAATTACTAAAATCACTTCTAGGTATCGGGAAAATAAAATATGGATTTGTTTTAACGTTCACTCACATATGCCATTAAACATTTGGGGAAAGCACTGATGTTGACAATCTGGCAATGTAAGCTTTATAAGGGTGGAAAAAAAAAGAAAATTGCAAAAATTCAACAAAGATATCTGGAAGAGATTACTGAACCTCAACAATCCTGGTTAATTCCTGGGTGCATCTTCCAGATGCCTGAAAATTGCCACTTTCATCTGTTCAAACTACACAAGCTTAAGCAGCAGGGGAATGTCTAACCATCAGATGGTTCAGGGAAAAAACGAGGATTTAAACCCAGATCAAAAGTTTCTCTATCCACCATAAAAATAAAACTTTTTGTACAAACAAGGACTCAAAGGACAATAGCAGAGAAAGATGCCAGCACTTAAAAATAACAAAACAAAACAAAAAAACAAAACAACAACTGAAAAACAGATTACTGTTCCTATAGCATTTAGGAATAAATACTTTCATTCAAGGGAACAGAAGTTGTTACCTGATGAGACTGAACTGATTGATCATAATGACCACTTTAAGAAAAAAAAGTCTCAGAACAGCATCCCAACTATGAAGCACAGGAGAGGTAGTATCATGGAAGGAAATGTTGCTGCGGGGAGGGACTGGTGAGCTTTACTGAATAGATGGGGACATAAAGAAATAACTTGACTGAATATGAGGAAGCAACATCTATAGACATTACCAGGAAGTTAAAACTTGGAGACAAATGGGTCTAGTTCAATGTAAAGCAGTAAGAGAAAGCCTTGTGTGTGTTATTATTTATGCTGCAATGCATTGTCCACTTTCCTTTCATTTTTAGCAGTTTTACTAGCAGTAGTACTTATTTTACATAAAAAGCCATCTTGTGGTATCGATTTCCTCTTGAAATACCAAAGTGGGTTTCACTGCATAATTTAGGGTGACTTCTATGAATCTATGTATATTGAGCGAATGATGTGGCGCAGCTTACACTCCTTCCTGCTGATGGCGATGGACAGGAAAGCAATAAAGGCCACAACGGCTAGCAGGGAGAAGAAAAGCCCCACGTGAAAGAAGAACTTGAGCCCCTTTAGCCACGTCCGCCAGTAGTCCTTCAGGTACATGACATGGGCGATCAGGGTCCAAAGCGCCAACACACCTGAAGGGGGGAAGGCAAGAGAACAAAACTGATTACTACATTGCTGGATTTGCAGTAGACCTGGCAGCTTATTTTTTTCACATTACAATGACCTTAAAAAATAAAAACAAAATCGTCAGGAAAAAGAAAAATAACTTTTATTGTTTGACTACAATGCAATTGTGTTATTTTGCGAGCTACACACTGGGACAAATCAAGAGGTATATCTGGCAGCATTTTACATTAGATTTCAAATCTACCGTATAAGGCCTCTATTGAAACTGTTGCACACTGAATAGAAATTACATTTAATGCAATCGAAGATGTCAGTGTCGGCTTGTCGCCATAACAAATATTGTTTAAAGAAATAATAGTAACATCTCGCTTTTCTCTAGCGTGCTGCTCCTTAGTGACGAGGCTCTCCTGCATCACTCACTACATGAAGGAAAGGGGAGGGGTGCGTGCAGAAGGAGGCACTGGAGTGAAACTTGCAAACCATGCAAACTCTTTAGAAGAAAGAGACGGAGAAAGCAAGAAAAGCAACAAGCATGAAACTGTAAAGCACTGAGCTCATATAAATTTATCATGCAATTTATTGATTTATTGTTTATTGAGCATGTCTGTGGGATCAAACCAGTGTAGATGAGTACTGATTACTTCTTTCTATAGAACACAATAGAAAATTTAATTTCCCACAATGGGGAAATTCTCTTGTTTACAGCAGCAAAAAGATTATAGAAAAATGGTCACACAAATATGGACCTTAGAAAAATGTATAAGAATAACATAATCGTGAATAGTTAAAAGATAAACAATAAAATGTTGCACTGTAAAGTGTTTTTAACAATATAAAAGTGTGCACCTGGAGA